TATATCCATTTCTCTCTTTCTCTCCACCTTTTTCTCTACCTGCCCCCTCTCTTCTCTCTCTCTTTCTCCTCTATGTTTCCTTCTTTCTCTTCTATGTCTCTGTCTTTACAGCAGTGGTTATATTGCACCTTTTCTCAGTGTTGTCGCTTCTTCTTGTCGTTTATTTTCTCCCCAGGTTGTTCTGAGAGTGTGTGTTTAGGACAGTTTGGCAACACTGAGCTCTGAAGAATGCACACACACACACACACACACACACACACACACACACACACACACACCTGAGTAATAAAGTGAAAGACGACTCTGTTACCTGATCTCTCTCTCCTCTCCCTCTCTCTCTCTCCCTCTCTCTCTCTGTCTTTCACACACTCTGCACAAACAGACGCACACACTCCAAAACCTGGAGAGCTGCCAGACACACACAAACACACACAGAGCAGTGAGAGTGAGTGTGTGATGGTGATTTTGTGTAAAAATGAGTCTGTGTTGATTGAGGTGTGGTTTATTGGTTATAGGTTATTGGTTATTATTGGTTATCGGTTATTTATACTCTACAGTAAAACGTCTTCAATCTGAGGATTAATGAAAGTGTAACTAAATTACAGGCTGCATTTTAATCCACTTCAGATTAAACAGGATTTCAGTTTATTACTCTCAGACTGGACTGCAGGATTAACACACACACAGAGAGAGAGAGAGAGAGAGAGAGAGAGAGAGAGAGAGAGAGAGAGAGATCTAAGAAAGAAGGCAAAGACGGGGAGAAAGACAGCAAAAGAAGAGCGAGAGAGAAGAGAGAGAATGATATAAAGAGGAGAGAGAAAACAAAGAGGTGGATAGTTTAGACAGAAAGAAGTGGAGTGAAAATGGGGAGAGAGAAAAAGAGGTAGAGAATGAGATGGGTAGAGAAAAGAGGGAATACAAACACAAAAAAGAGAGAGAAAATGGACAACAAGTGAGAAGAGTGGAGAGAGAGAGAGAGAGAGAGAGAGAGGCTGAATGTTAGAACAGACTAGTGATCTTATTCTTTGTTGTCAGTGAGACTGTTTTCAGTACTTTTAGTACTATCAGTACTATTAGTAATATCAGTGCTATGAGTACTGATCAGTACTATCAGTGCCATCAGTAATATCAGTACTTCAATAATATCAGTACTTAAGTGAAATGTAAGTACTTTCATTAATATAATTACTATTAGTAATGTCAGTAATTCCAGTACAATCAGTTACACCAACATTATCAGTACTACTAGTACTATGAGTAATATTAATAATATTAGTATGATTAATAATATCAGTACTATCAGTACGACCAGTATGATCAATAATATCGGTATGATCAGCATCATCAGTAACATCAATACTAGCTGTGATATCAGTGCAGTCCTGTGTGGGTTCAGATCTGTGTTACAATCACTTCATTTACTTTTTACATTAAAAGTTTGAATTGTTTAGCAAGAGTTTAGGGATCAGGGATTAGGGTTTAGGGATTAGGGTTTAGGGATTAGGGTTTAGATATTGGGGTTTAGAGATTAGGGTTTAGATATTGGGGTTTAGAGATTAGGGTTTAGGGATTAGGGTTTAGAGATTAGGGTTTAGGGATTAGGGTTTAGAGATTAGGGTTTAGAGATTTAGGGTTTAGGGATTAGGGTTTAGGTATTAGGGTTTAGAGATTAGGGTTTAGGGATTAGGGTTTAGATATTGGGGTTTAGAGATTAGGGTTTAGGGATTAGGGTTTAGAGATTTAGGGTTTAGGGATTAGGGTTTAGGGATTAGGGTTTAGGGATTAGGGTTTAGGGATTAAGGTTTAGGGATTCATAAATTAAACCTAGTCACAAGCCAATGACAAATCACTACAGAAGAGTCTTTATAACGTCTAAGTTTAGGCCTAATCTGGGTTTAGTTTTAGGTTTTATGATTTAGGCTAACCATTTAGATTTAAAATTTAGGATTTAGATTTAGAAGTCAACAGTGGATTTAGGGCCGATTCCCATACGTGGAGTAAGAGTGTAAGGTTTAGAGTTTGACTGTAGGGGTTTAAGGTTTATGGCCTAAGGTTCAGGTTTAGGTTTTAAGGTTTAAGGGTTCAGATTTTAGAGGAGGTTTTGTGAACTTTTTACGTGCCCCAACAGAAGTATGAAACAGCTCAACAACTGTGTGTGTAAGCAGGTTTTCTTTGGCAGTTTCAGTTGGGTTTGGCAGCACTGAGTGTGTGTGTGTGTCTGTGTGTGTGTGTGTGTGTGTGTGTGTGTGTGTGTGTGTTTGGGTTTGGCAGTGACACTTTAAGAGGAAGGCTCTGGGTTTTTGCTCCTTTTGGTATTTTAACTGGAGAAGATTCACTGAAACCCAAACTGCGCTTTACTGGAAGAGGAAATACATCATAGAACCAGCTTTTTAAAAAACTTTTGTTTTTAGATTTGTGAATTTCTGTGTTTTGCACGTTTATCCCCCTTATTTTTCACGTGACCACTGTGTTTCGAGAGTATGGCTGAAACATCTGGTTGGGGAACAGAAATGCTGTTTGCTACTGTTTTTAGGAATCAAAGAAAGTGTGTTCAGTTTTTAAGTTATTGTTCTGACCCATTAAACGTCTCTGAGTCGTTTCTAAGACAGCGTGCAGTTTGTGGCTGTCAGTACAGCCGAGTGAAGACGAAATTATGGCAAAAGCAGCAAAGCTACAAGCATTAAAAGCACAGAGCTTCAGCGGAAATGAGACTGTAGCTTCACTGTGACTCCGTGAAAAAAGTCTAGTTGTTAGCATTAAAATCTGAGCCTATTAAATGCAACCAGATGATAAACTGCCAGTTGAACATCACTGTTTACTCCTAATAGACTCACATGAACTTTTTACACTTTATATTCTCTTAATAAGTGGATTCTGCCCTCACTAGCAGGCTGGACAGGTAGCAGAAAGCTAACCAGCTAACAGGCTAACGCTACAGTAATAAAAGACAGACTTCACTGGTGTCACTGATCGTCATTGGTGTTACACATAATAAAGGAAACACCAGAGACATTTTAACGAAACATGCATTTTATAAAACGGCTGCTACAGAGCATCAAACCACATGTTGTCAGTCATGGAACATCCACTAAAATATGGAATTTAATCCATTTGTATTCTATTTTTTCACCTCAGAATAAAGTCGGTCACACCAGTGACTTCAGCTAAAAGCTTCATATGAAATCATGAGCTAAATGAGAAAATCTCTGATAACTGAAAGACACAGTGGACTCACCATGTGCTTTTCTTCATAGATCCTCAGAAAACAGGTAAAAGGAAGTCGAGTGATGTCATCAGTGTCTTTTATTTCAAAATAAGAGATTTTTTGTTATGCAGTGACACCAATGACACGACTCCTGGGGACCAACTTTCATTATATATTTTATAATATTTATTTGGCTTTTGTTTGGCATTTAAATCATATATTTCATGTATAGATTATTGCAGTTAAAATGGCAGAAAACCGTATTTTACCTCAAAATATGCCCTCAGCCTTCACACATGACCGTGAGGACGAGCTCTTCTGTGGTGCTTGGAATTCTACATAATTTATTTTAAAAAACAATATTGCTATCTGTAAATGCTGGGACGTTTCAGTAGAATGACCCATCGAAAGCATTGCTTAAAAACTGACACATACAAAGTAAAGAATGTTGTTTACCTGCCTGTTCTGAGATAAAATGTCCATATTCAAACTAAAGCTGACATAAAAGTCCAGTGTAGCGCTCTGCTAACCCCACTAGCTTGACACTAACATAGCTAGCTACCGCAGTGAACATACGAGGAGTGTTGTCAAAGGGCTGGTTTAAAAACCTATTTCCACGTTTCAGACTCTCAGTGTAAACACAATTAAACAGTTTAAATGAAATGACTTAAATTAAATGAAATTATTGGCGTGAATAAATTGTGTAAAATATACACAGGATTACAGTGATTCTCTTCCACAGGTTCTGCTTTCTGTTCACAAATCAACAAAGCTACAAACATCAGCACACAAGCATTCAAACATCCCAACAAAAAAAAAGATTATTGCTATTTTTATTTGTTTCCACGTTTCTATCATGTTAGTCCACAATCCAAATGTTAAAAAGAGCAATTTTGTCAAGTTTCAACAGAAATCAAACCACCTTGGGAGTCTCAACAATTCATGTCCATTTTACTGAAGTGACGTTTTAGCATCTTGTAAATATGTCTCAGTATGTGTTAACGTACCAGTATATGCTAAACATATAATATAAACAAAAACACAGACTTACTTTGTTCTCCTTTAAGCTTTAGCTCAGCTGTAGCCGCTTTTCTCGCATCTCCAGCAGGAAACTTTTCCAAAAGTAGAAAAGTTTTTTGTCTCTCAATGTTCGACTTTTTACGAGGCTGAAGTCGCTTCTCGTCAGCTTCTTGTTTAAATCTCCCGTTCCACCTTAAATGGTGCCTGAGGTGCCAGAATGTAACTGATGCACCATTTAAGGTGGAACGGGACAATTCGAACAAGAATCTGACGAATGAGAAGCGACTTCAGCCTCGTGACTTTTTAGTGTTTGTCAGTTTCTTGTTGCAGATTAAACGTATCAGAAAACCAGCTGGAGTGATTATAAATGTAAATCAGTCCACACATCATCTAAACCGCTTATCCTTCTGGGTCACGGTAGGGTGCTGGAGCCTATCCCAGCTGTCGGAAGGCAGGATACACTGACTAAATCAGTCCTTTCGTCTCCAAATTATCGATGTTCATCATAAATCTCTCTCTGTGCCATTTTGTTAGCAAATAGCTAGGCGAGATTGATGTCTGTGTTGCTATGGTGACCAGCAGTCTGCGCTGATCTTCAGGGTTAAAGGGTGAATTAGCAGTTCTACATTAACTCCAGAGTTTAAGACCATTTACTGTTAAACTGTGTTGAATGATCAGCAGAGCTTTATTTTACTGTAAAGGAGGATTATTTTATTTTTACCTACGAATCTGATTCTGTTTCTAATCAGTATGCGTTCTTGTGTTTGTGTTTCAGGTTCGTTCCTGGGAAAGGTCTGGTGATTTATCCTGAGATTGGAGATAAGTTGGACATCATGTGCCCACGTGGTTCCGTGAACCGACCATATGAGTTCTATAAACTTTACCTGGTGAGGAAAGATCAGGCGGAGTCCTGTAGCACCATTCTGGACCCCAACGTACTGGTCACCTGCAACAAACCCGAAAAGGACATCAAATTCACCATCAAGTTCCAGGAGTTCAGCCCCAACTACATGGGCCTGGAGTTCAAACGCAACGTCAACTACTTCATCACCTGTGAGTACAGCAGCTCTGCCAACTTAAAAGCTGTTTTTGTGCAGTTTCTGCTGATTTTATGTTGCATTTATAGAAATTTTTTAAAATGAAAAATCACACAGCAAGTATGAGGCTTGTGTTTGTGCTGCATTCCGGTACTGAAAAATTACTACAATACTAGAAATTTTAAAAAAGATATTTCCTTTTTTTTCAGATTTTCGTGTTTAAAAAACATTCTAAGAAGGATGAATCTTTAAAGGTTCTTTAGTAAAGACATAGAACCATATACAACACATTCTGCATCAATCTAAAGAACCATTTCACCATGCAAGGAACCAATTAAGCATGAAATGGTTCTGTATAGAACTCATGCTTATGCGACCCTATCTGGATTGGTGGAGGTTCTGAATAGAACCAGTTCATGCTTAATTGGTTCCTTTCATGGTGAAATGGTTCTTTAGATTGATGCAGTTGTAATGTGTTGTAAATGGTTACAGAACCATATACAACATAATCTGAAAAACCATTTCACCATGTAAAGAACCTTTTAGGCATGCCTGGTTCTTTGAGCATTCGTGATTCTATATAGAACCATTGTCTCTGCTAAAGAACCCTTGAAGAACCATCGCTTTAAGAGTGTGCATCTTTAAATTGTCTCTTTTGTACTAAAAATGATTGCATTCTAATTTCTACCCCACAAAAAAAAAAATTTATTGAATGCAAACTGTGAAGCAGTGTTAGTGTCTAAAACTATTACTAAATAGTTGAATGACTAAAACTATTTCTAAAGCAAAGACTAGCAGTGAAAAAATGCAATAAAAATGGCAATTTTAAAAACTAATCAAAACTGTAATGTACGCTGCAAAAGTAACTAAAATTAAGCAAAATAACAAAAAACATTTTTTTTTAGAAAACCAAAATTAAAACTACTAATGCACATTAAAACAAACTAAACTGAAGTAAAAACCAAAATGAAAAACTAAATAAAGATAAAAACTAATGAAAATCTAATATCGGTAATGAACCTGCTGTGTGTTAGCTGGTTGTGCTAACAGTGGTTTAGTTCCTGCAGTCTGTTAGAGTGTGTGTGTGTGTGTGTGTGTGTGTGTGTGTGTGTGTGTTCAGTGGGCAGGAGGTTTAATTGGATTTTCTTTTTGGCTGGATATGCGGTCGTATTGGAGGCCGTTCAGGAAATGATTCTTCTATACTTTGTGCAAATATATTAGTTTATGAAGAAAGTCATGGTTTTTAACTGCACTGGTTCAGTAGAACAGGGATTTACTACCCACAGATTTGGTTTACTGACCTACAAACTGACCTAGCTTGTAGAATAATGAAAAATGATAGTGGGGTATATGTACCAGTCACCAAACACTGATTTGTTGGTATATATATTGGCCATTTAGAACATATACTGGCTCATAAATATTGGTTTAATAGTATATCTACTGGATTCTGAGATTAAACACTGATTATCTAACAAACATATTGGTTAATATAAATTGTTTTGTTGTTGTACATATTTGATTGTCAGTATATACTTATACTTATTTAGTGTATATATTGTTTGTTGTTGTAAGTATTGGACTCTCAGTGTATACACTGGTCATCTAGCATGTATATTGGTTCATATATATTGGTGTACATAAATAGCTGCGTATATGTATCGGTTTATTTTAATTGGTTTATTTATATTGGCTTATATGTTCTGGTTTGTTTATATTAGTTTAAATATGTCAGTTTATATTTATTGGTTAATATATCAGCTTATATTTTAATGTTTATATATCTGTATTGGTTTATTTATATTGGGTTATACGTGGTTTCATTTAAAGGAGAATTATTACCTGAAAGGCCTCCCATACGTTGTTGAATAACTCGGCTCTGAAGTGTGTATATTAAGTTAAATAAGCACTTTATAACGCTTCATAAACACTCTCCAAACATTTCCTCTAGCTCAGTGACTCTGAAGAGCAGCAGGAATAAAAGAGCAGCTTTACTGACCCGTAAACACACACAGACACACACACACAGACACACACACACAGACACACACAGACACACACACAGACACACACACAGACACACACAGAGACACACACACAGACACAGACACACACAGACACACACACAGACACACACACAGACACACACACACAGACACAGACACACAGACACAGACACACACACACACACACACACACACTCTCTCACACACACATACCATACAAACACGTTGCTCTGCCGGAGGAAGAGATAAAAAAGATGTATCAGATGGAGAGGGAGTGTGTGTGTGTGTGTGTGTGTGTGTGTGTGTGTGTTCATGCTTCACTGCTCGTCGTGCTTCAGTGTGTTTTTTCGGTCTGTCGGCTATAAAGCTCAGACACATCCCATAATCGATCTCACCCCGGCTGACCCGTCACCACGGCAACCGCCCAGGCCGACCACAAGCAGTGCACACGCACACACACACACACACACACTCGTCGAGACGGTCAGTTTGAGGCGAACTGATTTTCCCTCCTCAAAGCTGAGCTAAAATATTAAAAAATGTGATATTTTCAGACGTTTTTTAACGATACAGGTCATCACGACGTTTCACTTTTCCTTTTCACTTCTTTCCATTTCAGTTGATTTTTAAATTTTCATTTCTTTTTTTGACGTACAAACAGTTTTAGTGAGAAGAAAATACAAATATTTCATTTTTTCCTGTGACATTTATTTGAACAAATATTGTTTTATTTATTTATTTATTTATTTATTGTAACATCTAAGCAAACATGGACATTGGAAAAACAAATGTCCACATTCGAGAATAAACAATGGAATGAAATCTAAAGTTTTCTGATATTTTCACGATAAACATCATCAAAATCTTTGATTTTCTTTTAAAAATTTGTTTATTATTCTTCATTTTTTAATCGCACTGAAATCAATTTCATTTTCAGATTTTTTGTCAAATCAGAACATTTTTATGTAGTTTCATCGTAAAAATGTCAGTACTGCAAAATTATAAAAACATCGCTATGCATGAAATCATTTTAATGACACACAATACATATAATTTCAGTTTCATCTTCCAAACTTTTAAGCCTCTCAGGTCAACAATGTCAACATCTCGAGAACGCTGCCTGCTACAGATTTACTCTTATTTTTACCCAGAAGTGTAGCACTGTGATGTTCCAGTGAGGGGTCCATTGTGATCGTATCCCTTTCAGAAGCTCTGTAATCCAGCCTTGAACTGAGCTGTCTATTTGGAGACTTTGTAAAATAAATCCATAATGATAATAAATCCAGCTCGGAATGTTTTCCGTGATACTTTATCCACTGCACCATGCTGAAAAGAGTTACTGTTGTTGTTAGCATGGCTATTAGCTGTGCACTGATGTCTTGGGTTGAGTCTGTTGAACAATCAGAGGCTGTGTTCCTGACTTGTCGACCAATCAGAGGCTGTGTTCCTGACTTGTCGACTAATCAAAGGCTGTGTTCCTGACTCGTCGACCAATCAGAGGCTATGTTCCGGACTTGTCAGCCAAACAGAGGCTGTGTCCCTGACTTGTCGACCAATCAGAGGCTGTGTCCCTGACCTTTCGACCAATCAGAGGCTGCGTTCCTGACTTGTCGACCAATCAGAGGACACGTTTCTGACTTGTCGACCAATCAGAGGCTGCGTTCCTGACTTGTCGACCAATCAGAGGACGCGTTTCTGACTTGTCGACCAATCAGAGGCTGTGTTCCTGACTTGTCGACCAATCATAGGCTGTGTTCCTGATTTGTCAGCCAATCAGAGGCTGTGTCCCTGACTTGTCCATGCAACAACACTACCCTTCTGGACACAATAATAATAAGTCTCTAACCTGCAACGTTCCTGAGATATTTATTCTTTCATGACGTCATTTTGAGTGTTTTCTGTTCACATATTTAAGCAGAAAGAGTTTAACTCACACTTTCACACACGACTGTATATCAGTGCTTATTTGTTTGGCTTCACTGTTTACAGTCTGAGAGCCTCTACAGTCTCAGTGAGGACAGGAATCAATTTAAACTAGATATATGGAGCTTTCAGAACATCCACTGACTACTAACCACACACACACACACACACACACACACACAGACACAGACACACAGAGACACACAGAGACACACAGGTCTTGGAGTAATTATCATCTCATAAATCCCCAACTCAAAAACAAACACTGAAAGACATATTTAACACACTCTCACTTTCTCTCTCTCTCTCTCTCGCTCTCTCTCTCTCTCTCTCTCTCTCTCTCTCTCTTGTGTTTCCCTGCGTCTCTTTAAGTCTCTCTCTCAGTTGTTTTAATTTCTATTCAAAGACGTTTTGTAGAACTAATTGCAATAATACATTTAATGACAATTAAAAAGAGACAGAGAGAAGAAAAATGAAAGAGAGAAAGGAAGAGAAATGAAGGCTAGAGAAAGGAAAAGGAGAAGAGAGGAAAAAGAGAAGAAAAGAAAGGAGAAGAGGAGAGAAATAATAGAAGAGAAGAGATAGAAATATGAGGTAAGGAAGGATAAGAGAAGAGAGGAAGAGAAAGGAGAGAAATGAGGAAAAGGACATAGGAGACAAGAAAAAAGAGCAAAAGAAAAAAGGAGAAGAGAAAGGATGAAAAGAAAGGAGGAAAAGAGTAGAAGAGAAGAAAGAAAACAGGAGAAGAAAAAGCTGAAGAGAAAAGATCAAAAGAAAAAGAAGAGAAGCAGGGAAGAAAAGAAAGCAGGAGGGAAAAGAGGAGACGAAAAGAAAGGAAGAGAGAAGAAAAAAGAGGAGAGAAAGGAAACGGAAGAAAAGAAAGCAGGAAGGAACAGAAAAGAGCAGAAAAAGAGGTGAAGAAAATGGACAGGACAAAAGGAAGAAAGGGGAGAAAGAGAGAAGAAAAGAGCAGGAGGGAAAAGAGGAGAAGAAAAGAAAGGAAGAGAGAAGAAAAAAGGGGAAGAAAAAAGAGGACAATACAAGAAAAATGAAGAAGAGAAAGGAGGAAGGAAGGAGAGAGGAAAAG